CCCAACCGTTGCAGACTCAGAGGGAAGTTTGTGCCAGTGGACACTGCCAGGGATAAAAGGTGCCTCGAAGAGGGGTAATACACGAGTATTGCTCACCGCACCCATGCACAGCAGCACATGCAATACGCTCCAGAAACCACAGAGCTGGGTCCAGGATTTTTAAAAACACATCAGGTTGTTACTTGCAAAAAAAAAAAATCTATTTACAATGGCAAAATTACAAATTTACTGAACATATAAATACAGCAATTATGAAACACAGCCTTTTAGGTGGCTGAACTGTGTTTGTCAGTTGAAACAGGTGCAGCACATTGAACCAGAAATCATGTTTGTACAGCAAAAAGCAATAAAAATATTACCCTTCCTTTTCATCAGGTCTTTTTCTGCACATCTTCACCCTGTTTTTTGGATTGGATTTTTTTAGGTCTCATATTGCTTTCACTAGTCGAAAAGCACCATGACAGCAACAGTATAAATGAATCTTACTATTTTCTCTTCCGCTGCAGGGCTGCTTACCGGTATTACATGCAGTCTGCATCCCTAAGGACAGGCAGTGCTGAAGATATGTTTAATATTTCTGATACAAGGTGACACTGAAGGTATCCAACGTACCTTTCATACTCAAAGTGAAGTTTGTATGCTTTTTGTACAGTCACTGTAGAGCATGCAATCCACTTTCTCAATGCCACACAATTGAAAACGACTTAAAAACTAAGATACTAACATTAGTAATAAAAATCTTTAGAAAGTCTTTCAGACACAGTCCCATGCTCAAGGCAATTTTAATATGAAACTTCTGGGGCTTACTTCTGTTGGGTTTTTCTAATTGCAGCTGGCTTTCTAAAGGACGTGCACAGTGATTTAAATAACATTTTGCACCTGCATAGCTACTTTCACATTGTGACCAACTGATCACATTTTAAAAATGTACTATAAGGTGGGCATTGTTAATACCTTTTACAGTTTGGTCAGAGATTAATGCTGAAGTTATCCAATTTTATGTAGGTATCTAATTTTGTGTTTCACAACCATACTTACATGTTTATATTATATTATTATATTAACAAACTGAGCATCAGTGTACACTGTAGCTCATCAGTCCTTCTGGAGAAGGAAAGACACGATGGCCAACACTAGGTTTCCAAGTGTCATCTTTTTGACAAAGGCCTAAGAGCAAAACACCTGAAGGAATCGTAACAAAATTCAAGGAAACCTATAGTCATTGGCTTCCTTGAGCAACAAACTCACTTTTCTGTAACCTATTAGCTACCAACGTGGGCTTTATTTCTTTGCATTGCCTATGCCAAGTGGTAACACTCAAAGGGTTTTACTCAATTCCAGCAAAACCAAACCAAACCAAAAATAAAAGCGATAGGAGATCTGCTGGAATAAAACCAGTCTCAGAAGGTCTCAGCCTCAACCGCTTCAGGGTAACTGGAGTTTTGCCATTATCTACACAGAGGTCAGAATTTAATTTGCAAACTTTGAAGTCAGAACAGTTTTCCCCAGTGAAAATCCATTTAAATGATCACTCTCATATTCAAGACAAAACCTTTCATGAAATCAGCACAGCCCTTTTGATTTGATGGAAATTTTGCCCTGACAAAAGCAGACGAGACGAGTGCTAAAAGACGCACTAAAACGTTAATTGAGTTGTCTGCTGAGAGCTCCACAGGCTGACCAGCCCTAAATCCCAACTGCCCACGGGATACAAAAGCACGATCTACAGGACTCCCAGAGAAGACAGGGTTTTTAAACATCACTTAGTACATCCCTTACTTAATCAAGTATCAAAAGGATTTGAAAGACTATAGCTTATTTACAGCTTTATAAAAGTGTACTCACCAATGCTGGTGCCTCTGCAGTTGCCATTATTAGAATCCATAGGGAAATCTGGCACAGATTCGTAAAATATGTGAAGAAATGTTAGTATGTTTAATATTGGATTATATCAATACACCAAACCTTACAATATTTCTCCTTCTCTAATATTTAGTACATTAAAACTTAATAACTTAATTAACTAACAGGTTGTAAAGTTCTACAGGCCAGCCTGTTAAGTTGACACGATTTCTTATCTGAACTTCACCCGAATCTGGCACACCATGTTAAATGCTGAAGCCGATGAAAGATTCCATTTCTACTGGTGCACAGGCTGGCAGGTTTAGGACAAGGATGTAAATTTACAGCATAAACTTGCGAGCATCTACAAAAAGTACATGCACTATTTGCATTTAATTAGGTGATGAAGGAGAAAATACTTTTGGTTTATTTTTTTTGGTTACTGAGGAAATCAATCCAACCAACTACAATCCTATTGTTGAAGCAAATGCCAAAGAAAATGTTTTAGGCTCTGACCTTCCCCTCAGTTTAAAAACATACTGATTATTTTAAAGGACAGATAAGGAACAGAAGGGAAAAAAGGCACTATGCTAGAAGAACTGCTTTTAGACACATTTGTAAGTGAAATGTGTCCCACTTTAGTAAAATGCATTATTTCAAACCTCTTCTTTATTAAATCACACAATTTAATGGTTTTATACATATACTTAAATCATGAAAAACAAGTATGTTAATGTGTATGATGTCATACAAGTTAGGGAAAAAATAAATGCAATAGAAACAAGACTCAGGAGAGAGGCAGTATACTTTATTAGAATGACATGTAAAATGGAAAAACAAATGAGCTTTCAAATAAAAAGCCCAAATGTTTACACAGCTTTTTCAACTCTGGAAGCTGGTATCATATATTACCTTTCTTACGTCCTTACATCATCATAGACACAACATTGCTTTCACAATATAGAACAAATACAACAAAAACTCCTCTCCTGCAGCTGAAGCTGGAAGGATCTGGCTGCAATACAGCCTAGGACGCTGATGATATTCTGAGTAGGTATTAAATTTTAAGGTTTGGGGCCATTATTTAATCACAAGTTCTGTAAATATGTATTTAAAATACTTAGTTAAGCTTCTAATTTGGCCATCTTCCTTTTTTTTTTAAAAAAAATCTCCACCTTAATGCATATTTGTACTTCTCACAGCAACATGAAACTTCCTTTACATAAATGGGGATATGGCTAAATGATAGTCAGGGCAAGAGTAAACCTGAAAAACAACTAATTCCCTTACATAGTAATTAATGTCACAAAATTGAGACTTCAGGAGTAACGATTCCTATCAATGTAAAGAGCAAAGGGTATAGAAAATAGCACAGAAGGATTGAACAGCTGCCCTTTTACATCCGACATCGCTAGTAAAAATAACACCCATTTTCTTCCAACGGAAGTTTCAAACTACCACAGTAACTTAGTTTATAGAACAAACCTAACATTTTCACTGCTTTTTTTCTTCAGTTTTGGTTGGTCTTCAGTTATCATGCACTTTCACAGCAGCTGTAAGACCTCTCCATGCTGCCTTGTAACAAGTCAGACTACACATGTCAATTCACAGAATCACAGAACGTTAGGGGTTGGAAGGGACCTGTGTGGATCATCAAGTCCAACACCCCCGTGCCGAAGCAGCGTCGCCTACAGCAGGCTGCACAGGATCTTGTCCAGGTGGGTCTTGAATATCTCCAGAGAAGGAGATTCCACAACCTCCCTGGGCAGCCTGTTCCAGTGCTCCGTCACCCTCAGAGGGAAGAAGTTCTTCCTCATGTTCAGATGGAACTTCCTATGCTTCAGTTTGCGTCCGTTGCCCCTTGTCCTGTTGCTGTGCACCACTGAAAAGAGTCTGGTCCCATCCTCTTGACACCCACCCTTGAGATATTTATAAACATTTATTAGGTCCCCTCTCAGCCTTTTCTTCTTCAGGCTGAACAAGCCCAGCTCCCTCAGCCTCTCCTCATAGGAGAGATGCTCCAGTCCCCTCATCATTCTCGTAGCACTATTCTTATTTACGTGTTTTACTTTGATTATTCATCTGAGCTATTCTCAAATTTTACAAAAGCTGTGGTTATAAGGTGGTAATTAGAGATCGTGACCTCTACCAATAGTATACGGAAAAAAAAAATAAAGAGGTCTTCATAAAATTTTAATTAATTTTACACCGTATCAAGTGCCTTCATGTATTCCAGGACAGGATGAATGAGAAATTAAAATGGTCTCCCTCTTACAAATGGTTAAGTAAGAGGATGATCACCTTTCTTCTCATTCACCCTCTCTTGAGGCAACCCTCTGTTGTCTGCTTCATTTCACCAGTGCTTTGCTTTACACCTGCAACTCCTTCTGATGCGGTAACAGCATAGAGAACGCTTGGGTTTACAGTCTGATAACCCTCCCATCTGCTCCTATGGCAGACAGATATCTGCAAAACCTCCCAACCACCAACTACGGAGAGGTTGCTCTGCCTCTCCGTATGCCTAACACTAGCCTGAGATGTTTCACCACTCTCTGGGCATTCAAGACCCCTACAGAGGAAGTTCTCCAGATTCACTGTCCCTCTCATTCAGTTGCGCTGGCCAACTTCTCAGGTTGCCTGCAAGGCCGGCCGGCTTTGCACATGCCCAAGGCAATTCTTTCTGGTGTTTCACGTGGCCCAGCAAGTTACAATTCCTATCAAAACAGGTACTTCAGTTATGAATGAAGGGATGGTTCATTCACACCTCCAAAGCACATTCCCTGCGCCAACAAAACCATCACTGGCTGCAGAAAAAATTTTCATCAGCAGAGGCATCAAGGGAAGTATCAGGTTAAACGCTTACCATCTTTACATCCATAGAACATGGAAGGAAAAAGAAGCTCTGAAGTGCACTTGCCCTTACTAAATCAAGGGCTGATCTAAGCAGTCACGACTTCATGCTGTTTGAGCAAACCAAGTCCAATTCACTCTGGAATTACAAGTAAACACAGAGCCCAGTGAGCGGTTTGCAGCCTTCGCTGACACCACTTGAGGGTAAGATGCTCATGTGTATTAGCTTGAAGTAACCATCTTCAAACGCACACCGATGCAAGGAGGGCTGGTAAACAACCAATATGCCCAATATAAACCTGGTCCTGCAAACAAACACAGAACTAAACTGCTTTCCACCAGGTGTTCCCTTCCACTCCTAAGTATACAACTTGTTTTATTTTTATCAAATTACAATGCACCACAAACTCAACCCATTTCCTAATTCTGCATTCATTTGCCAGGTCCCTTGTTCCACCCCAAACCAGCGGTTGTGGGGTATCTGATGAAGCAGCTGGCTATGCAGCAAGAGTAATTAAGATGTGTGCAGAGCAGCTATTAATTGAAATACCTCACACTTCTGCACCTGCGTGAAGGCTGTGGTGCTCAGCACGTTGTGCTCTCCAATTGTGGTCAGAGCACAGTGTCTATCAATGAGCAAAGGAGGAGTAAACTGGTACCAATATGTCCCTTCATGATTCATTTCCCTACTTGTGAGGGCTTAGGCCAGGCAAGTATTGACCTTGCCTTGATGCTGACCTTTCCCGGTGCACTCGTGCTTACTTAGGGATGAGCAGTTTCTACTGATGAAGAGTAGTGTGGGCTTGTGGAGGTGACCAGAGACCTCCACCACTGTACAACACATCTTGGGATCCTTGCCCCAGTCAAGCTCATACTGCCTGGTCCCTTCTCATTTAGCAGGGAACCACTTGGGAAAAAGGGTCTGGGCCAGCCCTGCCACCAGCCACTCACAAGATCTGAGGTGGGCATGAGCAACCATGATATCCCATCCCCTGACCCCAGCAGTCTCACGGGCAGAGACCTCTCTCCATAAGGAGATGCACACTGCTTAGACCTCCAACCTTAATGTAGACAGGGGGGGGAAAAAAAAGCAAAGCTGTATTTAAAAATAAACAACTGACTTCCTCCTGTTCCACTTCTCTTCTAAGGTGACCTCTCTGCCAAGTTTTGTCTACACAAAACAATCTTTTTGAAAGAAATATCTGTCAGTGATGATTAGCAGGCTTGCCAAAGAGGAAATATTATCCAGAGCTCCAATCCAAATGCTTCCTGCTAAATTTTGTTTAAGATCAGGGGAAAAAAAATCCAAACTTATTTTCCCAATAAGCCATTTTAATTAATTGCCTTTCAGAGGGATGTTATATATAATAAAACCCAAACCACTAACAAGGAAAGCAGAATAAAGGCCACTTGCGTAGTAAGTGTACAAAGCAACAATGCCTGAATCGCAGATTTGAATACGAGGTTTGGGAAAAGGAAGCAAGTCGGTAAAACACAGTTTTGAGCAAGCACTTTACTTTTGTCACAGTTTAAATAAATAAAAAAAAAAAAAAAAAAAAAAGGCAGAGGAAAGAGCCAAAAGTAACCTGATCCTGATTATCACTACAATTAAAGAACATGGCCCAGCTATTCCTGAAGCCATTCCAGGCACCCTGCTCCAAAGAACAAAACCACAGTGAGTGGTTGCTGCTTGGGCTCTTTCTTCAGATGGAGACATCTCTGCGCCCCATTGATTAAGAAACCTTCAAATATGCATGAATTCAGCCTTTGTAATCTACTTCAGGTCTTAATACAGAGAGGATCTTTGCTAATCTGATTGCAAAAACATGCACAGCAAAGCAAAGTAATAGGAAAATTGATCCTCATTAAAATTTGATACAGTTCAGTTCGGCTCCAAGTGGCAAAGCAGCCTGCAACATGGCAACACGGCTGCTCCACATAACCGATTACTCCACATAACGAACCCTGCTGGGTTTTGATGACATTTAATGGCCTAGGTCTTGAGTTGATGCTTAGACTGTAAAAGGCATTCTAGGGGACTCAGCCTACAAAGGCAGGCAAACTGAAGCGACAGTATGACACCACCGATTGTATCATCATTAATAAGGTTTAAATACTTTCCCCATCGTCTTTAAGGCTAGAAGCTTGCAGTGATTTTCTTCTTTAACCAAGAAACGAGGCTGCTTCTGAGTTTTGAGCAAATACCTGACACAAATG